CTTCTACTCGGCATGCCAGCTTTCGCCACTGTGCCCGAGTTTGGCCTCGATGACCCAGATGCGTAAGGTGATTTTTAGTGGTCGGGTGTCTGGTGCATGGTGACTCGCCTGGGCTGGGCCGTGGCTGTCAATGAGGCGGTGGATGCGAGGGGCTCCACGATGTCCCCGCGAATCTTGGCATCCCCGCGTGAAGTGTCGAAGCTGGCCGCAGTGGAAGCAGGCGAGCCTGGGCACCCATGGCGAAGGTGCCAATTCGGGCTGGGATCGCCACTCTCAGTGCCATCCCGGCATCCCTCCTCGCCGCCGGTCCCCTCTGCAATCCGTTTATTCATCCAACGGCTCCAAGACAACATTTGATGGTCGCCCTTTACACTTGTCCCCAGTCCAAGAATTTCCTGTCCATGCAGCCACCCAAGTCCGTTTTCGCAAGGTTTCGTACGCTTGCAAGCACCACATGGGGCCGACGGTGGGTCATATACTGCAGACATCTTCCTGTAGGCATCCTGAAGCATAGCCCTCTTCTCCTCAGGGATGGCCCAGAATGCTGCGAGGCCATCATCGTCAAGCGCCGCAGGTAAAGTTCTCAACGCCTCCTCTTCCGTCCAGCCGATGGACCTGTATGCTGCTCCAAACCGGCAGGTGAAGGCACTCAAATCTCCCACCGCTGCTGTAAATGATTTAATCAATGGCAATATTCATGGTCGATTGGCGGTACCTCGCCTCGCTGCCGGAGTTGACACTGCCTCTGCTGCTTCAAGCGCAGGACCCCCAAATGGCGGCCGTCGGTCACGTCACCTCCCGCGAAATGGCAGCCCCCGACCGCATGGTCCCCAGCGCGGGAACCCAGACCGCAGGTGGCCACTCCACCATCCCTGCATGACTTTGCGGCTCGTCCCCGGCTGTGCCAACCCTCGAAGTCGCCGCTCCCATTGTCGCCACCAAATCGGCGAAGGTTGAGCGGAGCAGATCCGGCTCCGCCACTGGTGCCATTTTCTCTACATCCGCGGGGTTTGTCACTGAGACCCCAGCTCCTGGGGCTGCTGGGGGGACCCCTTGGTCGTCTCTTCTTCTGAAGATGCTACAGGTGGATTCTTGCTCTTTCCTTTCTTCGGCATTTTACAAGCCACTTCTGACACCACTGTAATGTAGCTCTCAGAGACACTGTCTTGTTCAGTTATATGTATATTTATTATGAATAAAGTCCGCCGACTCACTGATAACTAGAGTAACCGCGAGTGACTATATACACTTGGGTAACTTAGGTAACTCTATTCTAAAGACAACATAACTCTAGCCTTCCAAGACTACAAGATGAAGATGACCCGCTCCAAGGTGACGACGTCGACTGCAGTTCCCCCACAACAGCAGCCAAGAGCACCGATTCACGCCGGCTCTTATCCCCCTCATGCCATACCCCTATTCCGTAACCTTCTCTCATCACACCTGGCCCTGTCTGCCCTTATTACAATTTACGACCGTTAGGTCCCGTGCTTCTCCTCACGCGGCCCTGTCAAAGCATGTCGCATTAAAAATGATTAGCGACCACTTAGGTCCCACATTACCCTAACCTGACCCTGTCTGTTTCCATTATGTTCATTAGTAACCATGGCCACGGGGAGCCGTACTGTCCCTAAATCACCCTGTACTTTCCTTACAAAAGGAAGGTGTTGAGGTTTTTTAATTCACCATATGTATTTTAGTTTCTCTTTCATATTTTTTAACTAATGTGTGAACTTTGTACTCTTTTGTGCATCTAAAATATTCTGAATGAAGTATATTATGTTCACTTCGTGAAGCACTCTCTGATAATTGCATTGTGAAGGGCTCTATATCTTCATAAATACAATTTTTTACACATCCTAACCCGACAAAACCTGATCATGAACACAACGTAAACTGTTTCTTATTCCTCTTGAGGGACATTGCCATTATAATAATTCACAGGCGAATCGTTGCACCATAGTAACCTTATCTTATTTTACATCTATGTAGTGGGCTCAAACGGAGACTCAGACGTACTCTTGGAGGCAACACTTTATTAACATTAACACGTTAACACGAAGGGGTAACTACCCCTTCACCAGAGAGTACGCTATGGTGGTAGACCACCAGGCTATCTACACTAATCACACGTAACTAGCTACAACGGACCGAACCCCGCTTGGGTTCGGGTCCTCGTGTTGGAGACTCTGTAGAACATGGCATGTGGACGTGAAGTCTTCGGGATGAACAACAGCAGCCGGTCCCACTGGGGGCCCGGCTAATATTGTGTGGCGGGGCTCGCGCCGCCCACAGCCATGTACACCTCAAATCCTCGAGCAGGATCTCTAACTGGACACGTGATCACCCCAGCCCCCCTTTGGGGGTCCACGGGTAGGCACTTCCAGTCACGTGTCCTCCGGGGTCAACCAGAGTGCCATGGCCCCTTTGAAACCCTGTTCCGTGGCCAGCACGCTCACACCCTATCCTCTAAGGGCTGGCACGCATGTGCCATCCGTCGCTGTCAATCAGCGCTCACCGAGCCACGCTTAGGGCCGGTACTGTATCCACATTCCAGTGGTGTCAGCGATGTCATTACATCGCACGTCGTGCCTCTCATGGCCCTGCTTCACACAGTGAGATCCCGCGATGTCACTACATCTATATTATCTCAAGGTGCTCTATTACATAGTTTAAAAAGCAGTAACAATAGTAAAGTTATTTAGATGGCAAGGGCACAATGCAAGGGCTGAGGAATGAGTGACGTTATAAAAAAGGCATGTAGGGGTCACTAAAGGGTTATCAGAGAGGAACAGGAAGAAGTGGAGGGGCGAGGGGAGAGAAAAGGAGAATGGGCAGAGGAGAGGTGGTGACGCTTTTGAGTAAGGAATAGAGAAGGACGTTAATGATGGGGAACTGCTTAATGAACAGATTTTGTGTTGAGTCTATGGATAGAGTTGAGTTTATGGGCAGTGTTGTGTCTATGGTCCACAGTGCTTTAGTCTATGGCATTAGTTGAGTCTACGGGCAGTGCTGAGTTCTACGGATAGTGTTTAGTCTATGCGCAGTGTTGAGTCTACGTCGCAGTGTTGAGTCTATGAACAGTGCTGCATTTATGTGTAAAGGCCGAGACAACAACAGACGACTCACCTGCCATACTGCTTACAGTGTGGGTGCAAACACGGGCTGTCAGGAAGCGAAACAAGGCCTCGGATTGGTGTCCCTAATTTGGGAGAGACCACGTGGGGTGGATAACAGAGAAGGGGAGGTACAGAGAGGCCAGGAAGGGGATTGGCTAGAGACAGACAATTTAAGGGATTGAAGGAAAGATCATAACGAAAATTGCGGGAAATGGAGGGTGACTGATAGGAGAGCCGTTGAGACCGTTAGAGAAAGAGGGCAAGGATTTACTGTGGAAATTAAGTTCGGGAACCTTCGAGACAGAGAGCTTATATAGGGTACTGTGCTTTCCTGGATTAAGTCCTTTATTACAGGTCGGACACAAAGGGTCAGCTTTACTGGTAACCTATCACACAGGTCATCGGTGATGTGCTGTATGCCGTAGGGAAGTGTACTTGACCTGGTGCTCTCCCTGCTTTACACTGCTGATGTTATTGCTATCGCCCATCTTGACAGTATTGGCGTGCATATAAAGGCTGATGACACAACTTTACTTCCATACGAAAGCTGACTCGTGCATCTCACACATTCCACGCCTCATATAGTCTATCAATGACATAAAGAAATGGATGACATCAAACCATCTGAAGCTGAACTCGAATAAGACAAAGTTCATCGTACTTGGGACCCGCCATCAGATTTCTAGAGTCAACCGTGTGTCTATCCAAATAGACGGCTGTGACATCCCAGTGTTGGATACGGCAACATGCTTCCGTGTCCGGTCGACAGCGAACTGACATTTGCCACTCACATCACGTGCCTGACTGGACAGTGATTCTACCAGCTCCGACAACTGCACACAGTCCGTCGTGCTCTCAGTGTGGAGACTGCGAGGATGCTCATCTACGCATTTATCATCAGCCGCATAGATTACTGCAACAGCATCTTCGGCTGTGTCAGCGCTGTTCACCTGTGGCCACTCCAGTCGGTGTTAAATGCTGCAGCTCGTCTTATAGTTAGGGCACATAAATATTATCCGATCACGAGTTTTATAATTGAAGAGCTGCAATGGCTACCGATTAAATACAGAATTGTGTATATATTATGCCTACTCGTCTTCAAGAGTCTCCATCAATCTGCTCCATCTTATCTCGCCGATCAGTGCATAGCAGCTTCAACAGACTCAAATTGACTTCGACTACGATCCGCTACTCGCTGCGACCTGCTGTATCCACATGTAAACCTTGTGCGATATGGCCAGAGCAGTTTCGGGGTCTCTGGCCCAAAGACCTAGAACACGCGACCAACTCATGTTCGGGATCCATCCCTGAGGCTGAGCCAGTTCTGCAACAGACTCAAAACAGTTGTTTCAGAGAGCCTACTTCAATCTATGATCAATGCCCATTCGTGATGGACTGGACACATAACAGTGCACAATAACAAATTGTATGAATTACTTACAATGCAAGGGCCGAGGAACGAATGATGGTATAAAAAGGCATGTAGGGGTCACTCAAGGGCTATCAAAGAGGAACAGGAAGGAGCAGGGGGGGGGGTAAGGGGAAAGAAACGAATGGGCAGAAGAGAGGAGGTGATGGTTTGAGTAAGGAGCAGGACATTTAATGTACAGAAGTGGTGTTGAGTCTATGGATAGAGTTGAGTTTATGGGAAGTGTTGGTCTATGGGCAGTGCTGAGGCTGTGGACAGTGTTGAGTTTATGGGCAGTGTTGAGTCTATAGACAGTGAGTCTATGGGCAGTGTTTGTCGATGGGCAGTGTTGAGTCTATGGTGCAGTGCTGAGTATGTGGACATTGTGAGTCTATGGGCAGTGTTGAGTCTATGGGCAATGGAAAAAAGGTGATTGCTTATTGTACAGGGGATGGTTTTGTTCCACTACCCAGGTTCAAAGAAGAGCAGAGAAGACTTTAACCTGAGTTCGAGTAACATCTTGATGGCTGGCTCGCTGTACCGGGCGGGTGAGACACCCACGGCATACCACCAGCAGTTCAAGGTGGACGAGCAGACATCATCCGTTTACATTGACAGCATGGCCATCTCAAACCTCACCGAAAAGTCCAACCTGACCATCACCAGCATGGCCTTCACGTGAGTCACAGACCCCAATACAAACACGGGCAAGAACAAGAGCTACAATACTAACTTTGATCATAATACGAGCACTAACAATAACTGTAACCCTAACGGTAACCATAACACTTGCACTGACCCGTATATACAACAGCACTAACCCTGGCACAAAACACGAATGCTAACCTACCACTAACATGAGTATCAACCCTAACGATAACCCTAACACTCGCCATAACACTGACTCTTAACACAAGCCTTAACAATGACCCCTAACACATGTGTATTGAGTGACTTCCGACACACGTCTAGAAGAAGGCTTCTTATTTATTAAGAGCACACAGGGCGGTACACGTCATAATGCGGCTACACCTAGACTGTCCAAACATGAAGCCCATCTCCGTTCTGCGCTACACTAGCTGGTTGACGAGCGTAGTGGCGGCGACGGAGCTGGTCTTGCAGAAGGACAGCCACGTGGTCGAAGACGAAGAGGTGACGACGGCAGCGACTCAACCAGGACCCAGACCCCTCGCGAACAGCCCTGAACCTCTGGTTCAGTGCTCCTTATATGTGCTTGGCGCGGCCAAGCTCCACCTCTGGCCACGACACCTTTCCAGAACCTTCGGGTTGGTTCCTGGAGAGTCTCGACTGACTCCACCCTTGACCTTTACCCCAGATACGCCCTTTCATAATAAGGCATTATGTAATGCAGCTATAACCCTAGTTAACCCTACAGGCCGGCAGGTGTCACCCTGTCATTACACATGCATGGTTAAACGATTCCTAATACGAGGCCTAACTTTAACCGAAGCCCTAACTCTACCATAACACTAGCCCTAACACTAAATTCGACTGTAACCCTAACAATACTGCTAACCCTAACATGAGCACAAACTCTAACTCCAGCCCTAACCCTAACCCATACTCCAATGGTAATTTTTGTTTTACCCTAACGCTAACCTCAATGCTAACACTGAAAATAACCCTAGCACTAACACTAGCACAACCTCTGACCACCAGGATAGTAATCACGTGACATGAATCTACACAATGCATCCGCCGTAACCTTACCAACATAAGAAACAATTAATCAATGAGGGCGCAGGACAGTGGTGGACAGAGTACAGAGGAGGTGGTGTGGAATGGGGACAGCACTGAGGGAGCAAAGGCAACACAGCTAACAGCTGTCTTTATGTGCCACTGTCCCAGCTAACAGCTGTATTTGTGTGTCACTTCCCATGTTAACAGCTGTCCCTGTGTGTCAGAGTCCCAGCTAACAGCTGTCCCTGTGTGCCACTGCCCCAGCTAACAGCTGTACCTGTGTGTCACTGCCCCAGCTAACAGCTGTCCCTGTGTGCCACTGTCCTATCTAATCTGCTCCTGTGAACCCATGCAAAATAAGAAGCTAACAGCTGTCCCTGTATGCCACTGTCCCAGCTAACAGATGTATCTGTGTGTCAGTTCCTCAGCTAAATCTGCCCCTGTGTGCCACTGCCCCAGCTAACAGCTGTCCATTTGTGCCACTGTCCCACCTAACAGCTGCCCCTGTGTGTCACTTCCCCCGTTAACAGATGTCCGTCTGTCACAGTCCCAACTAACAGCTGTCCCTGTTTGCCACTGTCCCAGATAACAGCTGCTACTTGTGTGTCACTTCCTCAGCTAACAGCTGTCCCTGTGTGCCACTATCCCAGGTAACAGCTGTATCTGTGTGTCACTTCCCCAGCTAACAGCTGTTCCTGTGTGTCACTGCCCCAGATAACAGCTGTACCTGTGTGGCACTGTCCTAGCTAATCTGGTGCTATTAACCCATACAAAATAAGAAGCTAACAGCTGTCCCTGTATGCCACTGTCCCAGCTAACAGCTGCATCTGTGTCACTTCCCCAGCTAACAGCAGTCCCCGTGCTCTGCTGCCCTTTGTCCCACAGCACGCTGATGGACCTCTTACCCCTACGGCTGGCTCCGGGCCTAGCGAGCGAGGCCTCATCTGGCCCCCCAAGTGTGGGAAGCCTGGTTCTGAGCACCGTGCTGAGTGGGGCCCAGGGAGGGAACAGCTCCAGCATCTCCATGAATCTGGCGCTGAGAGGGGTGGAGCCAGGTGCCCCCCTCAAGAAAACCCCCCACTGCTCCTTCTGGGACTTCAAGGTAAGATGCCAGTCCACAATGAGTGGGAGGAGAGAATGTTAATATGAGTATAAACTAAACTAAAACCTTTTTTTTCACCAGATAAGGCCCAACTGAGCTATATGGCTCTATTTCACCAGTGAACTTGCCACAAAGATAGCTCAACGAAGTGGCATGTAATGTGGATATGTAGAGCAGCCAATTACTCTTAATACATGTTGATTCTAAATGTGGATGGAAAAACAGGCGGATCCGGAGAATAATCCACACAACCACAAGATGAACTTTCGGAGATACTTGTGAATACCAAATTTCGCCTAGAATGATTTTGGCCTATGGAAACTTTTTTTTTTTTACAAATTACCTTCATCGCATATACTTTTAAATATGTGAAAATGATCATAACACTCTAATAATTGGTTATAATAAACATAAAGCGAATACAAATAAATATGAAAGTATGATACTTTATTTCTCATCATTTGATCTCATCATTTTATTTTTTCCCTCTCAATGCAGTCTAGTAGAGTTCCAGATGCGATACGGGGATAGCCAAAATCACGGAGAAGCAAGTTTATGAATAACTAAGGAATATTACATTTTCTTTGGTTCTTTCGGTAAAGTCACGTAGAATGAGAATAAAATAATAAAACAGAATAAAATAATAAAATAATACAATAAAATTCTCACGACGTTTCGGCCACAACACAAGTATTCTTCTTGTGTTGTGGCCGTAACGTCGTGAGAATTTTATTGTCTTATTTTATTTTATTATTTTATTCTCATTCTACGTGACTTTACCGAAAGAACCAAAGAAGATGAATCCTTGCAGTCACGAAAGCTTTAAATCGAAATTTAATATTACATTTGTTTTCACAGTTAAATGGCAGTGTTGGGGGGTGGTCGACCGAAGGCTGCATGACCAGCAACATCACAGACAACGCAGTTTCCTGTATCTGCACTCACACAACCCCCTTTAGCATCTTACGCTTACCGGAAACAAGCCAGGTGGATCTCACCTTTGCCATCATTACCTACGTGTGTCTGAGCATCTCCAACGTATTTCTCATCTTTGCTGTGGTCCTGGAGTCCATGTTACTGCATCAGAATAAGCGATATGGCCAAGAGTCCAATGGAGAGGAGAATGACGATGATCATGGAGGTCATCACTCCCTTAGCCGCGGCATCAAACTCAACATCATCTGCGCTCTGCTCCTCTCCCACGTTTGGTTCATGGTGGCCATCTCCAACTCAAACCCAACAGTCTGCTCGCTCTCACAGTTCTTCCTCCACCTCAGCTACCTCTGCGCATTCTCATGGCTACTAGTGCAGGCCATTCACCTCCTGCTCAACGGCAACTCCATTTATGGGGGCTCGTCTGGGCGCAAGGTGATGGCGGCTACCTTTGCCGGGGGCTACGGCCTGCCGGTGCTCATTTCCGTGATCACAGTCGCCGCCACTCACTCGCAGCCCGACTCGTGCTGGCTCAACTGGGACAGCAGCAATGCCCTCTTCGCCCTCGTCATCCCCGTCTTGCTCGTCATTGCGGTGGATCTGGCCGTCGCCGTCTACGTCTTGCTGCGAACTCGGCTCTGGGATCACGACGGCCAGAAGCTGCAGGAGGGTGGGGGTCTGCTGGGCGATTCCACCACTGGGAAGGCATGGAAGCTGCTCATTCTCATGACGGGGCTGGCCGTGATCTGGGGTGTGGGAGCTTACTTCTTCATGCCTGATGGAAATAAGATTCCTGCCGTCACATACCTGTTTGCCGTCCTCAATGCTATCCAGGTGAGGCCGATGTGCGTGGGTTTGTTATCCTGGGGTCGTAATCATCAGCCATGATCAATCCACTGCTCAATGGAGGCATCCTCAAGTCATCGCCATCTCTCACTGTTCTGCTCACCTCATCACTCCTATCGTGCCTCCCACTCCTTCCCATATCTCCGTTGCCCTTTTCTAACCCCTCTATCGCTATCACTCAATCTTCAAACCTTGCATGCCTCATGCCATCCGAATCATTCTATTCGGTCACCATTCTTTTTACTATGTCAAGTGAAGGCTCTCCATAAATTAAAAATTATATCATATTAATATCACGACCCACCTCACACTGGCACATCAACTAGCTTTATCGCTCCATCTTCAAGTGTCATTGTGGCCACCAAGGAATGGATGCTGTCGATGTCTTTGCTTCCACTCCAAGAATATTATTGACTCATGGCCATTGACTCTTCCACAGTGTGTCCTGTGAACATCAAATATAATTCAATGCAATCGCTTTGTGTGTGCATCTTGCTGTGTCTATAGGGGGTGATCGTCGTCGTTTTCAACTCTTTACTGGATGAAGAGGTGAGTGTATTTTAATGAAATAATCACGAATTACATAATTGTTTAGACATCACTGATGGGGTATCTAGACAATGATTGACTGGCAGACTGGTCTCTGATGGGATCCCCACCAATCTAGACAATAACTAGAATGACTGACCGGTCTCAGTTGAGTTCGCTAGACAATTATCTAATGACAGGCAGTGCTTATATATTTAGACACTTATGGTCTGATATACCGGTCTCTGATGCGGTTTACAGACAAAAAAACACTTGACAAACTGGTATTTAAAGCTATCTAAACACAGATAGACTAACAGACCGGTCTCCATTCCAGTAATAATGAGATAAATGTAAAGTCTTGTGTCCTTCTTGTTGTTGTGTAACAGGTGAAGCAGTTACTAAATAGGTCTATGACCATTGTGAGCTACGTAAGTAATTTACAACTCATTTAAAACATCCACAGCCTAGGCCTGAGAGCCTGTCTTCTATGCATTCCCCCCCGCTCCCCCCGCCCCCTTTCTTTCATATGGACACCCGAGCCCAGACACTTATCCAAAGTGGGCAATCTAGGCCAAGTGGTGCTTTCATTGCAGCTTTCTCAAGCGATGATAATTGCATTTAATGGGGTCATCGGATGGTCTAGGGCTGTGTTTCTCAAACTTATTTGGAACCACAGACCACTGCAAATATTTCTGCAGACCACCCATCCACCCACCTCTGGTGACAAATGCATTCAACTTACCAGGAACACTAAATTAATCATATTACCGGAGCATACTTTTTTGTTAAATGCAGATACGTATACTTTTGGTTTTTTTGACGGGTGGCATTTCGATGTTACGGTTAGGGTGGTTTCATGCGGGTAGTTTACTTAACAATTTTTTTAAATTAAAAATCACGAATAAAATGTAAATTAATATCCAAAACAAGAGGTATAAACATTATTATTTCTGAATCAACCTGTATTTACATCAGGCACCACGGGCCACATGGAGGACCACTGCCGGTAATGGTCCAGGGACTGCTCTGAGAGCCACTGCTCTAGATGACAGCTCTGCGATTGAAAATGAGGTCACGCGAATTTGATGGAATTGTGTTTAGGGCAATGCTGCTAAATCCTGAAGGGTTTGTTTCCATAAATATCTAATGTGCAGATATGTTTGTTTTCTATACATTTTCTTCTATAACAAATTTAACTTATCTACGTATTTATACAATAATGCCCCATTATCATCAGAACTCGGAAGCTAAGAGCATGGTTGAGAGCTTGGGTAGCGTTGTGTACGCTACTGTCTGGTAGCAGAGTCAAGTGTAGCAACATCTATTGTACTTCTGTGATCCCGCGTCTATACTCTGGACTGTGTGTCTATGCTCCCACATCGATAATTCAGTGATGAGTGCGGTGAGGTTGGTCAATTACTCCCAACCATGACCCATGAACATGGCAACGTTGGACTAACATTTGGCATGCTGAGTGCAATCATTCCACCGATGTAGGCCCAACGTTAGTGCAACGTTCCATGATTACTATATCTTAATAATCAGATCCTCAGTATCCCTAAGTATTAATGCCTTGAGCCCTGGTCTCCCTGAGTTTTAATATCCTGAGCTCCGGTCTCCCAGTATCTCTAGACTCTGAGACTCGGTCTCCATGAGTCTCAAATCCCTGAGAGCCCATCGTACTCATCCAGAAATCCAGAAATAAATTGACAAAAATGTGCTACACATGTACACCTCACCATAACATTTCTCCAGTGTGTCTCAAACTCATTTTTGAATGGAATGTCTTTCTCTTTTTATTTTAGGAGGGGATGAAAGAGAAAGGTGAGATTTGACATTTAACGCATCTCCTGCACCCAGAGCCGGATTAAGATTTTGTAGGCCCCAGGCTGCAGGTACTGTGAGGCCGCCAGTAATCTTTTCAAATGAAAAACAAAGTTAAAGAAAAATGAAATGTATTTTTAAAAGGCTAACAACAAATAAAATTCAGCATTCACAAATTTAAAAAAACTTTTCACAATCTCCGGAGGCCCTCCAGCTGGCGAAGGCCCTTGGGCTGTAGCCTCTTAAAGCCCATGCCTTAATCCGGCCCTGCCTGCACCGGCGGCATTCTTGGCACAACCCTTGCCCTTCGAAACGAGTGGTAGTGTGCATCAAGGAACCGGTATTGATGAGATTCCGCAAATTAGCTCAGAATCTGGATCTCTCTCTCTCTCTCATAATGGCAGTACCAGAGACATAATGGCCATACCAGAGACAATGAGACAGAGTCACTGAGGTCCTGGCAGTGTCTACCATGGGCAGTGTCCCCCGTGGGCAGTGCCCACCAGGGACAGTGTACACCGTATGCTGTGTCCATCATAGGCACCCTTTAGTAGGCCCTTCCCACCTTCATAGGTGCTGCTACTCTGTTAACAGTACTCGCCCCCGCAGCTTGTTATTCCTACACGGAAGAACTTTGTATTTGTTTCGTGCCTGGTTGGTGCCTGTGACCTAGGTTCCATACCCAGTTACGGCTAATGTCAGTGGCGCATATCTGAACCGGTTCTCTGTCTCCCCAGGGTCAACTCGGCCTTCAATAATTGGTTGGTGTAGTGTTTAATCTATCAGAGGGGGGGGGGGTTTGGAGGTGAGAAAAAGGTGGCACCTACCCCCTTGTGTGCAATGCTGGCCTTCATAGGCGCTCACTACTCGCTACTAAAAGTACTTGCCGTAACAGCCTGTTACGGGCTATACGCAGGGCCGGATTAAGATGTTGTAGGCCGCTGGGCTACAGGTACTGTGAGCCCCTTAGTAATATTTTCAAAAGGAAAACAAAGTTAAAGAAAAGTTAAATTTATCTCAAACAAGGCTAACAACAAATAAAATTCAGCATTCACAAATGAAATAACTTTTCACTTAATCTCTGGAGGCCCTCCGGCTGACAGAGGCCCTTGGGCTGCAGCCCCTAAGGCCCCGTGCATTAATCCGGCTCTGGCGATACGAGGGAATTTCGTATCTCTCTGTGGCAATGGGGCCTCCTGTAAGTTGACTCGACCTTAAATGAGAACTGGGGAAACTAAGACGGCCAAGCAGGTGGGCAACGGTGCTGGCCACCCACCACCTCTATGTGTGCCACAGTACAGGCCTTCACAGCTGGTCCCTCCTAACCACGTAACTTTCCCCTCCATCCTACTAGACGCTACACGGAGGAACTTTGTCTACGTATCGTGGCTGCTACACATTCCTACGTGATTAGCAACTTCGTTCAGCTATCAATTGTGTCGCTTCTGAAAAGAGCTGATAGCTCAGTAAGCTTTACCTGGTAAATAAAGTACAGTCGACCCTTCCACATCACGGAGGTTAGGGCGCAGGCCCCCCAGCCGTAGTGATACAACGATTACTGCGAGATGACTGCGATATATCACGTGAGAGGCTGCCATAAACATGCTTGGCGTCCTCCAAATCAGCACGGAGAACCGCAGTTGTTTTCGCAAACGAACTTTTTGCAAAATGTAACTTTAAAAAATCGAGTGTATTAATGTTTTTTAAAGATAAAATAACATTAATATTATACATTACTGTACATATATTTTATGCATTTATGAGTTACTAAACTTTTTGCGTGTCGTCTGCTGGCCTTTTGCGTGTTGTCTGCGGCTTTCGAAAAACTTCCAACAAAATTCCCCTTTTAATTTCTCATGCCGACCCCGCAACATATTGAAACCGCGATGCAGAAGGGTCGACTGTAGTTTAGTTTCAGTATGGGCTTGTGTGGGTCTGTATGCGTTTCTGTGCATCTATGGGTGTAAATTAGTCTGTAGAAACGTGCGTTTAGATCATTTGGCTGCTGCTATAAATTCCAATGTGGTGATGATGATGATCATGATGATAAGCCACTAAGTTGAATTGCTATCAATTGTGGACAGGTCGCTTCTGAACAAGAGCTATATAGCTCCATGGGCCTTCCCTGGATAGAATACAAAGTTTTGTTTTCGCTTGACTTTCCATGTGCGTCGTGTGTACAGATTCGCCCCTTGTGGTCTCCGAGTACGACATAGAGAACAACACGGTGGACGGAGTCTACCGATTACAACGACCCAATCAAGGTGTTCACACTGACGATGCGTTTACGCAAAAAACAACGCGGTTCTTCCGTTCTGGAAATGTTTTGGGCACAACGTTATGTTGGCACACCGTAACGTGTGCTAACATAACGCGGTTTCTGAAGCGGTCAACGACTAAGTACTTTCTTGAGCTGCATTGCTGAGCAGTATGATGCAGTATAAGGGATGAGATGGCACCCCTTATCTCGGTTCTCTGTCGCGCGATAGAGACGGCTGCAGTGTACAGTATGTACACTACTGTACAGTAATTGTTTCCTTGCTCAACGCGGTTTTTGCTTAGGGGCCGTCCATAAATGACGTCATGCACCTGGGGGGGGGGGGCGGGTCAGACATTTGTGACGATGTGTGACGATGGGGGGGGGGGGGTTGAGAAACGTGACGTCACATCAAAATGCGCAAATTTAAATAAATATGGACAACACGTTCTACTTAATTAAATAGACTTTTTAATAAATGTTTTCTTCTACAACATCAGAGTGCAGCGCCACATTAAATACGCACTGCAATGACAATTGTTTAAAGCGATTTGAAGCATGCTGGACGGCAGGGAGGAGTCTGGATCGCCCGGAGGTGAAGACAACTGCCCTCACCGTCCCGGGGCACCTATCTTTACTCTCTAAACTTCAAAGGTCCAGGGTGATGTCATACCACGCAGCCAATTGGGCGCTTACCTGTGCTTCCCGTAATCGTCCCCCTCCACCATCTCTACCGTGGCCTAATCCCCTCACTTCAAAGGCCCAAGGTGGCATTGTACTGCGGAGCCAATCGCGTGCCCACCTGCGCCGACTACATGGAGGGCCACGGGGTCTGCTGCTGCTGCAGCCCCTCACCCATTGTCCTCCCGTGCTTATTAATTCTAACCGACTCGTCTGCCCTTCTGGCCTAATATTCCACCCTCCACCTTTCCCAGTGTCGTGAGTAACTCATTGCGGTTGGCCCAGTGAACCTTTTCGTTCTGCGCCCATACAATGTTCAGCCAATTTAGGGGCACAGCAATGTAACCTGTCCTGTGAGGGTCGGCAAATCTCCTGGCACCGGGAAACCATGGGACTCTCCCTCTAGGGGCCCTTTTGATTAAAACCCGATGTACCAGGCAACCCCCTGTCAGGACACTATTTGGGTGCGCTGTGTGTGGGTGTGTGTTTAGTGTGGGGGCCGGGAGGGGAGTACGGTGTTTGCGGAGTTGCTCCGTGGTCATGGCACCACACATTTGCTCCCAGACAGCCCCGTTAAAAAAGTGGGCCTGGGGGGGTACTGTCACCTTTTGTTCGTGTGTACAGTCACCTGTGCGATCTGCGGGGGGCTCCCGGAGGTCTCGTGCACCGAATGCAAGCAGTCGTTCTGCCGCGGCTGCGACGAGAAGCAGCACGAGCGCCTCGACCGCAGGAACCACGAGCGGACCATGAACGGCGGACAGAGTGAGGCCAGCACCCCCCCGGATACACGTGGGGGGGACACCGGGGGGTGGAGGACACTGGGGGGGAGGGGACACCAGGGGGGGGGACGGACACCGGGGGGAGGGGGGTGACACCTGCGATTCAAAGACACGGGAGGGGGGGGGGGAGGGGCTGCCTCCGGACACGGGGAGACTGGGGCACTAAGGGTCAAGAGATCAGATACAGGGAGACTGGGGCTCTCAAGAGTCAATAGACACAGAGAGACATGGATGTTGAGAGACTGGGTCTCGGTGTCTAGAGACACAGGGAGACCGAGTCTCGGTGTCTAGAGTGACTGGGTCTCGGTGTCTAGGGTGACTGGGTCTCGGTGTCTAGAGATACACGGTGACTGGGTTTTGGTGTCTAGAGTGACTGGGTCTCGGTGTTTAGGGATACAGGGAGACCGGGTCTCAGTGTCTAGGGATACAGGGAGACCAGGTCTCAGTGTCTAGAGACACAGGGTGACTGGGCCTCGGTATCTAGGGATATAGGGAGACCGGGTCTCAGTGTCTAGAGACACAGGGTGACTGGGTCTCGGTGTCTAGAGACACAGAGAGACCGGGTCTCAGTGTCTAGAGACACAGGGTGACCGGGTCTCAGTGTCTAGAGACACAGGGAGACCGGGTCTCGGTGTCTAGAGACACAGGGAGACCGGATCTCGGTGTCTAGGGATACACAGAGACTGGGTCTTGGTGTCTAGAGACACAGGGTGACTGGGTCTTGGTGTCTAGAGACACAGGGTGACTGGGTCTCGGTGTCTAGAGACACAGAGAGACCGGGTCTCAGTGTCTAGAGACACAGGGTGACCGGGTCTCAGTGTCTAGAGATACAGGGTGACTGGGTCTTGGTGTCTAGAGACACAGGGTGACTGGGTCTCGGTGTCTAGGGACACAGGGAGACCGGGTCTTGGTGTCTAGAGACACAGCGTGACTGGGTCTCGGTGTCTAGGGTGACTGGGTCTTGGTGTCTAGGGACACACGGTGACTGGGTCGTAGTGTCTAAAGACACAGGGTGACTGGATCTCAGTGTCTAGCGACACAGGGAGACCGGGCGTTGGTGTCTAGAGACACAGGGAGACCGAGTCTCGGTGTCTAGGGATACAGGGAGACTGGGTCTCGGTGTCTAGCGACACAGGGAGACTGGGTCTCAGTGTCTAGAGACACAGGGAGACCGGGTCTCAGTGTATAGAGACACAGGGAGACCGGGTTTCGATGTCTAGAGACACAGGGAGACCGGTTATCGGTGTCTAGGGATACAGGGAGACCGGGTCTCGGTGTCTACGGTGACTGGGTCTCAGTGTCTATAGATACAGGGTGACCGGATCTCAGTGTCTAGAGACACAGGGAGACTGGGTCTCGGTGTCTAGAGACACAGGGAGACCGGGTCTCAGTGTCTAGGGATACAGGGAGACTGGGTCTCGGTGTGTAGGGACACAGGGAGACCGGGTCTCGGTGTCTAGAGACACAGGGTGACTGAGTCTCAGTGTATAGGGATACAGGGAGACTGGGTCTCAGTGTCTAGAGACACAGGGAGACCGGGTCTCAGTGTATAGAGACACAGGGAGACCGGGTCTCGGTGTCTAGAGACGCAGGGTGACTGGGTCTCGGTGTCTAGAGACACAGAGAGACCGGGTCTCAGTGTCTAGAGACACAGGGAGACCGGGTCTCAGTGTCTTGAGACACAGCGAAACCGGGTTTCGGTGTCTAGAGACATATGGAAACCGGGTCTCAGTGTCTAGAGACCAAGGGAGACCGGGTCTCGGTGTCTAGAGACACAGGGAGACCGGGTCTCGGTGTCTAGAGACGCAGGGTGACTGGGTCTCGGTGTCTAGAGACACAGAGAGACCGGGTCTCAGTGTCTAGAGACACAGGGTGACCGGGTCTCAGTGTCTAGAGACACAGGGAGACCGGGTCTCGGTGTCCAGAGACACAGGGAGACCGGATCTCGGTGTCTAGGGATACACAGAGACTGGGTCTTGGTGTCTAGAGACACAGGGTGACTGGGTCTTGGTGTCTAGAGACACAGGGTGACTGGGTCTCGGTGTCTAGAGACACAGGGTGACTGGGTCTCGGTGTCTAGAGACACAGAGAGACCGGGTCTCAGTGTCTAGAGACACAGGGTGACCGGGTCTCAGTGTCTAGAGATACAGGGTGACTGGGTCTTGGTGTCTAGAGACACAGGGTGACTGGGTCTCGGTGTCTAGGGACACAGGGAGACCGGGTCTTGGTGTCTAGAGACACAGCGTGACTGGGTCTCGGTGTCTAGGGTGACTGGGTCTTGGTGTCTAGGGACACACGGTGACTGGGTTGTAGTGTCTAAAGACACAGGGTGACTGGATCTCAGTGTCTAGCGACACAGGGAGACCGGGCGTTGGTGTCTAGAGACACAGGGAGACCGAGTCTCGGTGTCTAGGGATACAGGGAGACTGGGTCTCGGTGTCTAGAGACACAGGGAGACTGGGTCTCAGTGTCTAGAGACACAGGGAGACCGGGTCTCAGTGTATAGAGACACAGGGAGACCGGGTTTCGATGTCTAGAGACACAGGGAGACCGGTTATCGGTGTCTAGAGACACAGAGAGACCGGATCTCAGTGTCTAAAGACACAGGGAGACCGGGTTTCGGTGTCTAGGGATACAGGGAGACCGGGTCTCGGTGTCTACGGTGACTGGGTCTCAGTGTCTATAGATACAGGGTGACCGGATCTCAGTGTCTAGAGACACAGGGAGACTGGGTCTCGGTGTCTAGAGACACAGGGAGACCTGGTCTCAGTGTCTAGGGATACAGGGAGACTGGGTCTCGGTGTGTAGGGACACAGGGAGACCGGGTCTCGGTGTCTAGAGACACAGGGTGACTGAGTCTCAGTGTATAGGGATACAGGGAGACTGGGTCTCAGTGTCTAGAGACACAGGGAGACCGGGTCTCAGTGTATAGAGACACAGGGAGACCGGGTCTCGGTGTCTAGAGACGCAGGGTGACTGGGTCTCGGTGTCTAGAGACACAGAGAGACCGGGTCTCAGTGTCTAGAGACACAGGGAGACCGGGTCTCAGTGTCTAGAGACACAGCGAGACCGGGTTTCGGTGTCTAGAGACATATGGAAACCGGGTCTCAGTGTCTAGAGACCAAGAGAGACCGGGTCTCGGTGTCTAGAGACACATGGAGACCGGGTCTTGGTGGTCTAGAGACACAGAGAGACCGGGTCTCAGTGTCTAGAGACACAGGGAGACCGGGTCTCGGTATCTAGAGAAACAGGGAGACCGGGTTTCAGTGTCTAGGGATACAGGGAGATTGGGTGTCGGTGCCTGTGTATATTCTCTCTGCATTGCACTATGTGTGCATTGCTCACTGTGTGTATTCTGTACGGATTGCTCATTGTTTGTTCTGTATGTATAGCTCACTCTGTATTCTCTACATATTGCTCTTTTGTGTATTCTGTATGCATTTCTCTTCTGTGTATACTGTCTGCATTGCTCACTGTGTGTGTATTCTGTGTACATGGCTCACTGTGTGTGTATTCTGTATATATTGCTCACTGTGGGTGTATTCTGTATACATTGCTCACTGTGTGTGTATTCTGTATACATGGCTCAATGTGTGTCTATTCTGTATACATTGCTCACTGTGTGTTTTCTGCGTTCATTCCCCATCTCTTCCCTACGACTGCAGGCAATGTCTGTGGCATCTGTGGTAAGCCGACGGAGGTGACATGCGACGACTGCGAGGGATCATTCTGTTCGGAATGCGACGACAAGAGCCATCGGCACCCAGAGCGCCTCTTTCACAAACGCTCACTTCGAAGCTCCTCCAGTAACCTTATGGAGATGTAACCACCTGGGGGTTGCAGTACAGAATGATGAACTTAAGTATCGCAGTCACATTGTCAATTCAGTTCAAGATAAGCTCTGCCGAAACACCAAATTGATAAGGGAGTTTCAACGTTGTGCGTTTCTACGTTTATTTTTAACCATTAACAATGATTAGCTTTTACCAATTATTGACAGAATGATGAAAAATTTTAAGAGTTAAATTTTGATTTAAAGCTTTCGTGACTGCAGTAATTCATATTCTTAGTTCTTTCGGTAAAAATAAAATATATAATAATATTTTATTATTTTGTTGTTTCCTTTCAACGTGACTTTACCGAAAGAACTAAGAATATTTTAAGAGTTAACACCGCCATTTATAATATATACATCCCTATTTCAGACACAGACTTCTTGCATGAGTGTTGTCATGTCGGCCATGTTGCATAGGGGGCGATATAGTGGCCATTTTTCTGATTGGCTCAACAAAAATGTAGCTTGATCGATGTACTTTATTTCACCAGATTGTAACGCATGGTGGTGTAGGTGATGGAAGAATGAAGGCACACCACGAGAGTTGGTTACTTCCAGCTTTATTCATGCATCTACATTGTATTCTGTGCTTCCTCTCTCTGCTGCACCCAGTTCCCCCTTCCCCCACACAAGCATCCCTTTTAAATATCCTTCTGGACCCACCTCCTAGTCCTTGCCTCAGCACATACCTTATGCATGCATTACATCTTTATGCATATTATACATCTCTATTTTTCACAATAAACAAACTCAATTACAACAAACCTCAGCACTTCAACAATAACTTAATATTAAAATTCTTCACAAAGGATGATAAAAGCACCACGCGAATGGCTCTGTTGCTTTACAGGAGTAGACTATCCTGTAATGCCAATAGTACATTGAAGGGGGATTATTCTGTCCCCATAATATCAAGGTACATAATCCCTCAGATGGCATGGTTGATTCACCAATCGCCCGGCCCTCGTCTTGATCACGGCAGCCTCGCCATTGTGGAGCCGAGGCATTGCTGCTGGCCCCACCTCTGCTGACAAGTTGGGCAGTTATTGACCACAGGAATTGGCCTCACAGGACAGCTGCTTTGGTGAACATTCCTCTGGGCTTCCAACATGCCTGGTGTCCTTGACAGGTATATTGTGTTGAATTGTAAAAGTTGGTGCTGGTCTTGTCAGGTGTTGCCACTACCAGTGTGTCGCTTGGAGTTGAGGCTACCTGAGGGGCTGGTGGCACGATGGTGGACCTGAGGGGCCAATGACATGAAGCCCTGTAAGTGGACATTCGCAAGTCCCGTCTATTTTGGCGGGAACTTCCCTCGATCATGTTCCACAACATAGGACCTTGGAGCATCATGGGTCCCTAACACAGTCATCTGCATCCAACGCTTGTCTCCAAGCAATGGTACCATGTGAACCGGATCCCATGAGAGGGTAACCTGTATGTCCTTTCCGCTCTTCCTGTCATACAGCCACTGTTTTTGTTTTGCTCAATCCAGCCTGTGACGCACGTCTGCTAAATCATAAAATGCTGGCCGCAGCAGCTATCTGGCAGCTGGGAGTAGATTCCATGGTCGACGGGACATACACAGCTGGGCGGGCGACGGGTTGCAGCTCTCCAACGGTGTAGTTCTGTAATCTGAAAGGGATTACTTGGCCCACATGCGCTTGACTATCTGAACAGCCTTTTCAGCTTCTCCATTGGAGCGAGTGTAATATGGAGACGATGCCTGATGATTAATCTGAACCTCTTGGCAGTTGTCTACAAATTTCCAGGAGCTGAATATTGGGTCCATTGTCCGTGTGCAGCTTCTCGGCTATTCTGTGACAGTGCAATTGTGCTTTCAAAGCCTTGATGGTAGCAGTTGACATGAGATTGTCTAAATGGTCCACCTCTATATACTTAGAGAAGTAGTCAACAGTTACAGAGTAATGCTAACCTTCCTACTCGAAGAGGTCTGCTGCTACTTTCACCCATCTCAGGTCTGGTTTCTTTGTCGGATGAAGCGTTTTCATGCTGCTCCTGACTCTGAAACTCATTGCAGTCTAGACAGTCGCTGACAGCAGCTTATATCTGAATCATAATTTCAGACCAGAGTTTCCCTAGCCCGTTGCTTGCACTTTACTATCCCCAGATGTGAGGCATGAAACTGCTTTCTCATAGCAGGTCTCACTGAGGGTGGCACTACAATTTTCATCCCGTTATAGATTACTCCATCACAGATAGACAACTCGTTACAGAAGGTCCATAATTCTCGGATGCTGTGGGTCATCTACAACTTCATAGCTGGCCACACTTTGAGTATAATTGTGTACAACTCATTCATCTCATGGGCTGTAGCCTGCTGGAAATGTGCATAACGGGTAGGGGTGACTTCAATATAGTCAACTATGTTAATCAGCACTGGCTCAATGTATGGCACTAGCAGATTTGCCCAAATTAGTGCATCCCCAATTGGGATCTCTGACCCTAGCTTGTATGTTACCAACAAATCATATGGTTGCAGTCTGAAAGCATTGACTGCAGCCTCATTGTGGCAGATAGTAAAGGCTTTTCAAAAATATATTTCAATGGATTGTGATCACTCACCACTGTGACTTGCCTACCGAAGATGTAGTAATGAAAGTTATTTCAGCTGTGGAGAAAGGCAAAAACCTCCTTTTCTATTTGCGCATATATCTGTTCCGTGTCTGTCAGAGCACGTGACGTGTACACAACAGGGCGACCACCCTGGAGAAGTACTCTCCCTAAGGCAAAACTACTCGCATTGTACTCCATCATTTTTGACATCACAGGGTTGTAATAAGCCAACACCGGGCTCTTTAGCACAAATCCTTGAGCCGGTCAAAACTCCTTTGCTGAGGCTTGTTACAGTAAAACACAACTGTCTTGCACAGCATCTCACGCAGTGGGACATCTACCTCGCTAACATTGGGCAGGAACATAGACAGACTGTGTTTAGTCTTTGGAGTTGGCATTTCTTGCACGGCTTTGACCTTATTGTCTGGCAGCATCCCTCCATTTGTGATATGGCCCACGTACTTGACTACAGCAGACTTGGCCTGGCACTTGTCAAAGGTCAGCTTCAAGTTGTACTTAGTCACACTCTCCACCACCCATTTCATCACCTGGGTGTGCCCTTTATTGTTACGTTCAGCTATTAGGATGTCATCCATAATAGCTCTGGCTCCTTGCAAGTCTTCTAACATGTCCATAATGTTTTGATACAGCTCTCTGGTTTACTTGATGCCAAATGGAAGCCGGAACCATCTGTAACGTCCTGCCGGTGTGTTGAAAGTAGTTATCAGGCTGGACTTGTAGTCGTGCTTAATCTGTAAGAACCCAGACTTGGCATCAATCACTGAAAATACTTTGGCATCTGGTGGCATTGATGCAACCAATTTCTCTACTGTGGAGATAGGATAATGTTCCCTTCTGATGGCCTTGTTGAGGTCTTTTGGGTCAATGCAGAGCCTTACTTTGGTATTCTTCAACACTGTTACCAGAGAGCTGATCCAATCAGTGGGCTCTGTCACTTTTGCAATATGAGCTTCCATCAATATGACCTTCCGCCTCCATCTCCCTCAACTTGGCTACTATCTTATACATCAAGGCCTTTGGCTGTCAGCATGGCGTACGGACAATAGGTGGCACTGTTGAATCTATTTTAAGGAAGTAAGTTCTTGGAACTTACTTTTCTTACACTCGGGATATTTTCCCATATCACTCACGTGTTGGACTCTCTCCACTAAGCCCAACAGGCAACTAGCATTTCCTGATAGCAGGGACTTTTGGTCTATTTGTGCCACCTCATTCAAGGTGGACTTTTTTTTGGTTGTACTGTGTTGCCAGTGTGGTCTTCCCAGGGACTGCGATGGGTTGATTGGAGTACGTCCATGGCATTTCATATACCGTTTAGATATGGCTGTGATATGCATAATAATTAAACCACAATTTTGTTTTAATAATTAGGATCCTTTACGGTTTATGATTGATGTAAAATATGTTAAAACATTTTTTCAAGTAGTTGATATTTTCAATTATCAATGATTATAATATTTAAAGCACTTATCTAGCTTCAGTCAACATAATGCAGTCCTGCTGCAGGTTTGTATATCCATACGTCGACTGTATTATTAACAATGCATATATTTACTGTCAATCATTGGCCGAGATATTACAATCAAATCGTATATCAGCTATGGGACCTTTTCGCCAGTATCGCTATATTGATTCCTTGTAATTGACGTATATTTGGTGTTTGATAATCTTAACACTTTTTGTACTTTTGTAATCATGAAAAACTTTAATACCAAAATTTGTAATAGTTTGTCGAATTAAAGTTTTTTTGGGTTAGATCGTGTAAATGTCAGTGTGTTGTACACCCTTCTCCAACTGACATGCCAAGATTGTAAGGTTTGTCACATAAACAGAATGTACCAATGTGTTACTATTTCAGCACACCGGTTGTTTTGAAGAGAAAACCCAAAACAATATTTACAATTTGAATTAATGTTTCGCTGGAAATGACAACCAGCATCATCAGGTGCTCATCACTGTGGACGCCATGGTGGCTATGAGATGTTAACACCCTCGTCTGGTATACAGGCCATTGGTTCGATTCCAACTCTGACGCCTGCTGTACATTTTGAGTTTTTAATGTCTCTCTCCCCGTGGTCGTGTGGAATTTGTTTTGGGTTCTCCGGGGTGACCCTCCACATTTAGAAACATCCATTTAGAGTGTTTGACTGCAATTACCTTCCATATGATAAGTCACTTCATGGAGCCATCATTTGTAGCCAGGTCGCTTCTGACAAATACCAGTATTGCTCAGTAAGCCTTACCCGATAAAATAAGTAAATAGTTTAGTTATTAGAACTCGGAAACGAACTCGGGTTAAACTTGTATTGAACTTGCCTTGTCGTTATATTCTTTCAAATCTTTGACGCTTAAAGATCTACGAATCCTAACGACCAAAATATTTCTACGCAGACTCATCTCGCGTGATAATTAAAGATAATCATTAAAAAACGGTGCAGGTTCCACTAATCCTGGGCCTATTCGTGTTTTTTACTTAATTTTAATAATTAATACTCGTACATTTCCCCCCCCCGCCCTCTCCATTTCAAATCACGAATGGTCGCGACCAGCTACACAGGGAAACGTACAATTCGAGCAACTGCTGTTAGGGAGCCTTTGACCATTGAAAGGCGCGCTTATATCGCCACTCGTCGTGGAACCGGAG